ATGTGCATTTTTTTTTTTCTTATAATTGATGCTGAACTCTCTGCAATATGTTCTTCTGGATAGCAATTTATATTAATGGAAAATAACAAAAAATATTTTTTTTAATGGGTCATGTTTGTAAGTACTATTTCATTTAGCTATATCTATAAAACTTTTAAGTCTGTACCAGAATTTTACTGGAAGTTAAAAAGTTCTAGAGAAAATTAGGAATACGAGTAAAAAATATTCTTTCTTCATGTTTGGACCTCATTCAGTATTTCTAAATAATAATAATAAGCAGCAATAACTTCATATCACTGTTGTTAATACTGACAATTATTCATGGATACTTGCATCTTCTTTTTAATTTTAACTCCTTAAGCAAAATATATGTCAACTGTCACACTCAGTGCTGTATTCTACAGAGACTGAAAAAGATCAAAATATCTTTCTCTTTCTTTCTTTCTTGTTTATTCATTACAGTTTTGTGTCTCACTTTTTTCTGCATCTAGCAGGGTAGACTTACCAGCATAACTTTCCTTTTTTTTTTAGTTAATGCAATAACAATAATTTTGAATGAATTCTAATAAGCTAATGTGATTAAATAAGGACATTTCTTGACCTTCATTTTATAAACCAAATTGTTAATAGGTACTGAATGTCACTGAATTTATGTTCCCTTCAAGCAAAAGTAAAGACAAAAGTTGGTGATTCCAACAGGAAGATACATAGGACATATGCACCACTCAAGATTTGTGAATTGTTGTGTGCTATGTGGTGCAGCAGAAGTGCCCTTGTCTAGCAGTCTTGCTGACCTGAGTTCAATCTTGCATGCTGCCAGTGGATGGAAACCCCAGCCATTCCTTGCACACAGGGGGGTATTTTAAAAGCTAATAAACAGCATATCACAGCAAAGAATATCAATTATAACAAATGGAACTAAATTATCATTATTATTAATTATTATCATTCAGTGTTTAACAGTCTGCCAGTGAGAATGAAAACAATTTTTGGTTTGGTGGGTCTGGCATTGGTTTTATATCAACTGATTCCTTCAGTCGCTGGCTGATTATTTGCATGGTTTGTTATAATTACAAGTGTATGTGTCACCACAGCAACATTGGTGACCCTACTTAGCATGGACAAACATGTAGGCATACCAGTCTTTTCAACTGTCCAAACATGTGAGTATAATGATTTGTAATGACGTATTTAAATATGGGATAATGATAAAAAAATGCAAATCATAAATGTTGAATGCATTCACTGTAACAACAGCAGAAATGAGAGATGTACTAGTGTTTACAGACTTTGTTTCAGTCTCCATAGGTGTAGTCCATAGAAGCAGTTCATAGATACAGATGAACAAGAAACACAGGTGTCATTATCAAGCTCTTTCCACAAGTATGTGGGCAGGTACCTACTTTGGCACCATTTACTTCAATACCACAACTCTCAGAGCTCCCCACAGGCTATCCTTTTCTAACTAATATTATTTATCACCAACTCAAGACTCACTCAACTATCTTATTTGTTGTGATTTTATGTTTCATATATATTTGTAAATATATGTGATATGAACACATGTTTTCTTTACCTCAAGTGGCAAAATCATCCTAAAGAGAATTCAAAAGAGGCTAAAGACCATAGAAAAGAAAAAAAAATGACAGACACACTAATCACTGGTAAAACAAAACATAAACGATTTAGTCAAGTCTGCTGCATAACAAAAATGTCACAGATACTAAATCTATGAAAGCTTTGGGAACCTAACCTATTTTCCACCCTTCCTAAAATCCTGGTTATGCCTTGGGGCCAATCAGCATCTGTTATATAACAAACATGGAGTGCAATGAATTAAAATAAATAATTGAGACTATATAATTCACTCATCAAAATCAAGATTAAAAAAGCCATGGCTTGGTAATCCTTTCTTGCTGGACCACAGATGATATGGCATATAATCAAACAAGGATAGAAAAAGGTACATCCCAAATCATGAAAAGGGATTGCCCATCAATAGAAAGGTCATTATGAAATTAAATTATGATATTACAAAATCTAATTATTTTGGTAAAGTGTATATATTTAAGTTAAATTGTGACAAAATCTTAAAGCTTCTACAAAGAGTATGGTTAATGGGAGTTTCTAAAACTGAATAATAGTTGACATATTTCATTCTGGTTCTGCAAAAGAAAAAAAAAAGGTATCAGAACTTACTGGAAGAAAGAAAAAAGCACAAATTACAAACAATAAAAGTAAACTCAAACTTGAGTTAACTACAAGAATTTAACAAATTTCAACACCATTTTTTAATATCTGACTTCAATCCAAATAATGCTTAATCTTATGATATTTCATACATACATAAATAATAATCTCAATCATACTACTTTTTCTCATCATCATTTTCATGTATTTCTGATGAAATACAATTCAAAACCGGTCAAATAAATCCCTTGTGTTGTGAAAATATTCATACTCCTTTATATATTTTCCACAAAAGAAGGAAAATCAGAAC